TCTCCGCCGTCAATCGTTGTCTGAGCTAAAACTGTGAAGACCATCCGGCTAGGATCGAGCTGATTGTATAAACTAGAATACGTTCTGTTCATATTCGTTTTTCGAAATAAGCAGTGTCATGGTTGCTCTATCGATAAAATATATCAGTGTCAAAAGATCCGTCGTAACTCAAAGTAAGCTTCGTCCCTCAATCAACGACAAACAGAGTGGCTTCCTTGCTCAGACAGCACTTCCAATCTTCACCCAGTATGCATTGCGGTACAGTATATAATCAGGCGCTAGACACCACTGCCATCTGGCGACAACGGTGCAAACTAGCGGCAGCTTGAGCGTGTGGGTACTGGCCACTGGGTAGTTTAGTTGACGCAGGTCGGGTAAAAAGTACGAGACAAACCAGATGTAACCGATGCAATGCTGCAACTATCGTTTGCTATTGAAGATGAAGGGAATATAAGGAACTGAAACACCCTGAAGACACGGTGATGTTTCCCTTGGAAGCAATATTACAAATTATCAAACAGCATAGAGACATTAATGGTGATAAAGAGGGACAAAATACCTACAAGGGATGGGCAACAAATCGCCTGGCATGCGGTACTTCTGTCCGTGATAACATACTGAGCCTCGTTTTGAGAATAAAGTGCTACCACCTATCTCCATTTCAACATGTCATGAACAGTCAGCACTCGTAAATTCCGCACTTTATTGATCTCAAACCACAAAGTAATGTTTTCAACTAGCTGAACTCACGCCTCGATGCGAGTTACCATGTCTTTCGACTCGTCGCAGCACAATTATATGTACAACATTTGTCCAAAGGCAGCCTCAGCTGTTTCAGGGCTCCAGCTCAATCATGAAAGCTTTATCTCAGCTTAGGCTAATATCAAGCTTAGTAATCACTAGAGCAGCTCACATCTCGGGAAAGATAAGAACTTTCCCGAGAAAATTATGCCTTACTTGAGGTCCTCGATGGCTCAAACGAAGCCCATCATTTCCCAACATGACTGGTTTAAGTCATTATCCAATGAGACATACATTATCACTTTCGCACAACAGTCTCAGGCAGCTCAGACACAAAACAGACAGAGGCTAACAGACAATATCAGACAAGAAGACCATCTCACATATCAACAGTCTGTCTCAGAAGAGACAGACCTAAAGACCTCCCCGCCATTCCGCGACCAGCATTCACTTCTTAAACTCCAGCTCCAGGTAGAAATCCCTCTCATCGTCCAGTCTGCTCCCACTCTCCGGAGCTAGCGGCAGGCCGCGGGCTCTGAGGGTCTCCTCCGGCAGTTCGGCGCAGTCCGGTAGCGGGAAGGGTCTGATACAGCCGCCGCTGGTGGATGTGATGATTTCACCTGACCGACAGCGGTGCAGCTCGGCTGCGGAGGGGGCGAAAAAAGATAACTGTCACAGTTGGAAAAAAGGCATGTTACCTGTCCTGTCAGTGATTAGTGACCAGCTAAGTACGGTGCTGTAGTGATTCATACAAAGACTGTTGACTGTTGAGTCACGAGTGATTACCCATAATCATCGATTGTTTTTTATTGGACAAGGCAAGGTCGTAATGACAGAGCGACTAAAAGTGCGTGATGTATTGAAGAATAAATCCGATTGCAATATTACACCCGAGAACCCAGTTTATGAGTAACGAAACGAATCCAGTTAAAGATTCGCTTTCACTTTATAACCTTTTCGGGCCTACATGTGCAGGCTTAGGTCCCAGCATCCAAAGGTTTCTATAGCCTATACTGAGCACCAAGTCAAATTACCATTTAATACGCCGGGTTCTATCTCGAGGCACTGATAGTAAAATACGCAGGAGTCCGGTATATCAGCGAAATACTCGCCCGGGCCAGGGCAGTTGTAGGGGCTCCCTGCTGCCACCTGCAGAGAAAGGCACGCACCATTAGTACCTAGACCAGCCTCCGCGCACTTCCAATAGCGTTCGCGAGGCCTGAAACCTTGGTGTAACTTCGATGAAAGGCGCGTTATAAGCTCGACACAAAATTCATGGAAATTGTCGTATGATTACACAATTTACTTTCTAATGAGACGATAAGATCTGATTAAAATATGACTTCACCAGTCCCAGCTGACCCGGTATTTGGGCGGTGGTGACGGCACGTAATCGGGCGACCCCAGCTCGACCACCGTGATGTTTGGCAGCGCTTCGGTAGGTGGCAGCACCGTCGGTAGCCGCGACTCCCGCACCCAGATTCCATCCGTGTTCTTTACACACGGCGGCTTCAGTCGCCATGGAAACTGGCAAACCTGTGGGCAATACAAAATATACCGCCAGAAAACGGATATCGAATGGGGTAAAAGAGTAGTCGCATAATGTGGACGATTACCTGGTGGTCAATCAACACAACAGGGCTCATTCATCGTGGCTGCCGCGCCTATCCGATCCGTTCGCGACAATTTGATGCCTGAAGTTTATCACAGGCTGTTATGGGGCTTCAGCCGAACGTTTTTCTTAGAATACCGGCGGTCACGTCTAAAGCTACAAAAGGTAAAAATACAATTTTTAACATACCTTCACGCGATTCAAGTGGAAGGTTATAATAAATCAAGCGACTAACAGCCATAAATTACCAACCATTTCATACCAATAATTACACCAAGCATTGCAAGCTTTCATTCTAGCGCCGATTACCTATCCATGCTTGTTCTCTATGATTCACTATCTAATCTAGAGCCATGTTGGAAACACCAATCCGCCATGTTGAACGTACACTGAGATTGGCGTCATACACGGTGGGTTCCTTGCAGGAAAACGATACTCTCCGGAGTTGTTTGCCTCCCCAGAATGAAATGCATCTGAAAATGCAGCATACAGTCACTGATCGGAGATAGCAAAACACGCAGAATGGCACACGACTGCATTTCGCAGTTATCTTCACCTGGAACTGCATTCCAACAATTGTTTTTTGGGGCTTTAGGGCACGCCGATTACGAAGGTCATTTTGCGGACGTCCGCATTTCAATGGCAGACGAAAAGAATATACCTCAGAAAACGCGGCTAATGGTTCCAAAAAAGTATTCGTCAGCTAACACAGCCATTTTTGTCGGTTTTATTCGATTTTTCACGAACAGCTCGCTATGGGCCTTGAGCTGTTTACTTATTTACGCCATCCTCATTAACGAATCGCCTCTGCTCCTTACCGGTAGAACAGTGCGCAGTTGTTGGGGTCCTCGTGGTAGCCAGCTGACTCACAGCGAAATTCGTCAGCTGACGACTGGCCGCGTGCTAACACTGGAATAGAATAGAGAGTGAGAATAGAATAGAGCAACCGTATAGGCAGGAACGGTTGAATATGTGCGTAGGGGAGAATGGATAATTTGGCCGGGGGTGATCTGACAAAAGACGACATCTGACAAAAGTGATTGCAATAACTCCAGTGTCTACTCATTTGTCATTTGTAGAACTGATCCTTTTTCAGTGACCGTCGAAGTTTTCAGTGCTCAAAGATAAACTAAGCAGGCAGCGAGGTCGGCAAAATAACCGGAAAAGCCATGCTCGACTCGAGTACAAACGAACAGCGTTCGTCGAACACAACATCGGACGCATACGCTAATGTGTATGTTTAGTGTCAAAATGGATGGATATTTTCCAGTGTACGTTTATAGGTTTTCCCGATATAACTGAAAAGAAAATACGCAACCCTTGTCGAAATGAGCAGGATCATTCGATCCATGTGACTTTGACTCACGAAGAGAAGACTACGGGATAAAATAACTCGGTTTCCATAGCAAAAAAAAAAACTGTGTTTTACGAGTAGGTATTTACGATATGAACAAACAAGTACTTGTAACTTTCTTTTTGTCATCACCACCACCACCACCGACTTGTGCGCGGCGTCTATCATTCAGTCGCACCGCAAAGACTGCAGCAGACGGCGAGGAAGAACAGCGAAGAAACCATCTTCCCCAGCGCGACACCGGCCTATTGCTTCTGATCACGGGACCTGAAACAAACGAGAGACACCAATAGTTACCATGTGTGAACGTTTGAATCAATGGAAACGATGAATTTGGAATACAAGACAATGAATGATATATGTTGGACATCATCCAGGGTGAAAACAATAAAAACTATGAATATTACAGTTTTGAGGTGTAATGAACTTGCAGTTTAAACATGCTATTTGAATGAGTTTTCTTATTTGCGTACCTTTTTGTGATTCCTTATTGCCACTTTGTCTCACTTTAGAGGAAGTGACTCGGCAGCAAAACAGTTTCCGTATCTGAAACCTCCCCGCTCAGCTTATAAAGTATATTGATAGTTCTGGCGAGGGATAGTAAGCTTAGAAATTATAATAAACGGTGATAAACAAAATGAGTTGCAGCTTTTACCACTGTAGCGCTATGCTCGCTCAATGGGCCATGGCCTCGCTACTTTCCATGATGCTCATTGATCCTAAAAGAAAAGAAAACAAATGAATTTTCTTTCAAAGCAGAGGTGTCAACTCCTTAATAAAAAACACGTGCATTTGCATAAAAAAATATTTTGCGGAAATTTGTCTCGGAGCAATGGCCTTGATTCAAGGCCCGGAGTCTAGGCCCCAAGGCCATATATAGGCCAAGGCTAGGCCCGGAGCAAATACCAAAATACCACAGCCTTGCCACAGCCTCTATATGGCCTTAGCCCGGAGCATCAGGGTATTTTGAATTGAGAGCATATTGAATTATATATTTAGATTTGTTAGAATTGAATGCTGATAAGTACCAGCACTTGAAAATATGAAACCCTACGAAACCAGCGAAAAAATAAAGATGGTACAATTTTACTTTGAAACGAACTCAATCGTGCTCACTCAGCGGAAGTTTCGCAGTCACTTCAAAGCACGCAAAGCCCCATCACGCAACGTAATTTTGGCCATAGTCAAGAAGTTTATGCTAACCGGAAGTGTTTACAACCTGAACAAGGCTAAAAGCGGCAGAAAACGTGCAACAAGCGCACCTACTGAGTAAAGAAGATACAGATGTCCTAGAGCGCAGTTCAAACAAGTCCATGATATGTCTGAGCCAAGAACTTCAAGACGACAGCTTACACTTTAAAGACTGGTCAGAGCAAGGCCCGTCAGAGCCGACGGCAAACTCATTCCGCACAAGTTTCAATCCACTAGACGTTGACTGAACGCGAGAAGCAGACTCGCTTGAGCTTACAGCGCACATATGGCCAGGGCAGCCCGAGAGTGGGTGTGGGATCACCTCATCTCTGTTCAAGAAGTTCATGGCTGGCCCGCTCACTCACCGGTTATTTGCAATGTGTTGCATTCGAATTTGTTATTGATATGCTCATGTGTTTTTTAACATGTGCAACGTGTTATCCGCAAAATATACGGCTTTTAAATTCGTTTGCTTTCGGGAACTTCCGGTACAATGATTGCCTCATTTACCCCCTCAGTCGAGAGTGTCGGGTGCCGCCTCCCGGCGTTTTTCGCTATTGCTCGGAACGCACTGCCCATTGAGAGCTGAAATCGGCACACTGGACCTCCGCTTCAAGCCGATCTTATGACACTAATTGCATTTTCAGGTCAGGTTAGGTCACTGACCTATGATGTCATAAGTGAACCACTGCACAGGCCTAAAAGGTCAAAACTTAACCCAACGCTATCAATGCCGTAGGATTTTGACAAGGAGAAAATGATCGTCTGCTTTTCATTCAAGTAGGTTGAACAAGATAGCTCAAGCGAAGCTTGAGCCCATACGAAACAATACGGTGCCATTACATAAGAACACAAAAAACGTAATAAAAACTACTTTAATTAGTCTAATGCCAAACTACACGTCGCGTATCGTGACATGATACGCTTCAAGTGACCTCACTGCGGCAGATCTCACCTTGATCTCAGCAGTACTGCCGTTGTCAGCCGTCTTCCTCCGCCCTCCCAACACAGGTACCGTTGGTCGCACCTGAGCTGGACCATCGCTCCCACCATTCGCACCAAAGACCGCCCACCAGCGCGCAGGCGCACAGATGGAGTCCTTGACATTGGGGGCAGCGCGTGGCGTGTTTTGCATAAACACCCTCGTGAGAGGGCTCATTAACATTCAGCAGTTAGACAACGGTGGTTAGGTGGTTCCGGGTGATGGGAATGCAGAAATATGGGAGGGGCGTGCCATGATGAGGCTCGAAAATGTCCTCATGACGTCATGCTTTATAAACAATATTTCTAATGTGTGAATAATGACGCGACTTAGACAAAATATGTAACCTTTGGGCTTAGATTTAGCTTGGTTGATTTTGGATTCGTGACACACGATGGTGAGCTCAGATTTTCCCTTTATGTCCGTTGTTTTCTTTCCTCGTTAGCATTCCACTGAGTCCAGTTGAGTCCACCCATGTTACAGCATGGACAGACACGGCGTTCTTTTCCCCTGCTCGGCGGTAGCGTGTTTCGTTGACCTTTGACCCGCCCCGGCACGACTGACGGCCCGGGGTCGGCTCAAGGTCAGCCTCCTCGACCCCAGCCGACCCGGCTCCCAGGCTCTACCGGCGCTCCTGCACTCTACCCATTTACACACTCCCACCCGATGCGGGCTGCATATCGCCACAATTAAATAAACATTAGAAGTGCCGGACGGTGACGTGCGTGGGTCACTTGATCTCAAGATGCTGTGTGGTGCTTTGCTTATGAAGAAAATGCAAACTTATATTGGAATAAAAGAGGGAACGTAATCCTTTAATTAAAGGATCACGTATGTATGTGCCATATGCGAAAGTAATTAGGTACTCAACCAGAGAAAATAGAAATATTGGTCCATGCTAATGAAAAGACAATTTTCGCACAAGGCAGTAAACTGGAATCAGGGATACCTACACGGTAACCAACTGAACACCAGTCGCTGCATTCGACGTTATGTACTGTTTCCCGTATTAGTTCATACGGAGTCACTTATATCGATAATGCTATGCATAACGCAATTTATAAAACTTATGGCTGCTTTGAGGAATTGTTTTTAATCTTGAGGTAATACAACAGTTAAAGGGACCCTCCCACCTTAACATTAGTTTTGAGTTGAGATAGCCAAATTGGTGGCCATGGCCTGCAAATACCGGTTTGGGCACTCACAACATCGAAAAATGCTTTAATTCGAAGATATGGAATTTCAAACTTGCAGTTTTCGGATTCTAAGGGGCTAGTGCATTGGTATGCCCCCTTAGAATTTGTGACGTCAGCGGAGATCTAACGATTTTTAAATCTTTTACTAAAACGTTTGGTAGCACGCGGTGGTATATGCTGCTTTGCGCGCAACAAATGCCGCACTTTCAAATAAAGTCGCTAGGAACAGCGGAGATCCCAAAAAGTAAACAAAAGTAAAAGTCTAATATCTTGAAAACCGGTGAATATTTTTCGATGAAATTTGGTAGATATTCGTTTTCGCTCTTTCTGAACCGAGCGACATCACTTTCGTGCCAATTCATTAACTTTTTTGAAGGTGGGAGGGTCCCTTTAAGCATTAGTGCGAGTTATTTGTTTACTTTTTATATTTCTTACTCGAGAACAGTCAGTCGCCTGTCACGCAAAGTGTGTGCATTGTGCAATGTGCATCACTTCAGCGAGTGAACAGAGTCGATTCAAACTACGCATCAGATGTGGCATCTGGAGCTGCAGTGACCGTAAACACCTCGCTCCTGCAGTGTTTTATCCTAATTAATCGGAGACACCCTGCGGCTTGATGTTTCCTAAATCAACCTTGTGCTCTTTGTGTGAAATGTTGCAGGGATATATTCAGACACACGGCTCGCGATGAAAATGTGGGATGTTTATACAGAAAGTAAACAGGGCTAGGCGACCTTAATGCATTAACCCTAGCCGGATACATCAGTGCTCTACATACGTTGACATAGTCTGTCAATAGCCTTTTCCCCAAGGGTAACCAAAGGTCATATCAGGTCAGTCCAGCAAAACGTAAACAATTTCATCCCAACCCGTTTGCAATTATATTGTTATAAACTGTGCTTGATATTTGTGTTCATGTGAGAACACATGTGCGTGCATTGGGAAAGAATCGCAAAAGGAAAATACTTTTGAGTGAGCAGTGGCCTCTTTGGCCTCTTGCACCAATGCTTAGATTTTTTGCATCGTATACCCAGTCAAAGTATATCAAATGCAACAATTTGCGTGCAAAATTTAGCAAGCACAAGTAGGATTATGTATTGGGCTATTGCAAACAAATTTACCACCGTTAGATTAGCTTATTCTGAAACCGGTTTTTCGATTTTACCTAGCTAGGTAGTTTGGTGCAAGAGGCCTCTGGTCATGAAATTTCCCACTATGGGTTTCCTGGAGCCGCCCCTGCACTGATGAACCTAAGTAAGTCCATCGCACCACCCTGTGCCTGGCACAACCCCCCCCCCCCCTCCCGACTGGGTCGGGGTGGAGAGGGGTAGGGGGGACGTGGGGTGTTTGTTTATCGAACGTCCAGACACACCCCAAATCACGGGTTCTTGCACCGAGCACGTATCAACTGCGGTGCAAATGTCCCTAGATGGCCCGTTCGGTCAAACATCAATCTTCCGTGACCCCACGAGGCACGACACCCTGTCCACATACCGTACTCATCCAAGCGAAATGTTAAGCTTATTTTTCAATACAGAAGCGCTTTCAAATATCCATTCAGCGACTGGCCCCAAAGTCTGTTTCAAAAGACAAAGTCAAGAGCTGTCAGACCTAAATGTAGCCAGGAGTGCCTAGTGACTGTTGTTGTGCGTCTAAAAAGCTTTTTCAACATTGGCGATCGTTGGTGATCGTGGGTGATCGCATTTTTGCGGAATGTGTCATGGGCCCAATGAATGGCACTAGGCACTGCTTCTGCACTTACTTCCGCTCACTCCTGCGTAGGTTATGGCGCTTCCACTATGACGGTCGCATTTCGAATGATCGTCCAAAACTGAACAACTATTTTGCGACTTTCACTGGTTTTCTCTAAACGCTACGGCCGAGGGATACCCTTCACCGTTTCGCTCCTAACTGAGCTAGAGCCTCGCAAGAGCCGAACGTGTGCGCCGTTACGAAATGCAGCGACCCATACCCGATTTTAAGGTCTCAAATAAACCGGAACCTCGGTCAGGTCAAGGTTCCCAGGCACTGGTTTGGTTAGTGGTGAATATATACATAAGCCATAAATTGCCGCAGTGCCGCGTTTTTGGCACCATCGTGGTCTTTATGCTCAGCGGCGCCGAATTACATACTTTTTGTTTAGGTGAGGTCAACTGAAGGTGCTGAACTCAGGTCAGCACCTTAATTAACCCGCGACCGCCTGGGGGGGGGGGGGTCGGATCCGACCCCCCCTCCGTTTTTCTTGAATAACTCATGAACCGCTTGCGCTATCAACTTGAAACTTCGCATACCTTCTCTCCCATCAATTTGACGTCTCCTGTGCAATTTTTAAGAAAAAATTTTCAAAAATTTCTGAGATATATCGATTTTAGTGATGTAACTACATGGCGTTTTCAGTCAAAAAATGGTAAATGTTTAAAAAATCGCCAAAAATCGAGGTTTTAAGCAAATTGCAAATTAAGGACATGAAAAGACGCAGCTCAACGAGTTCTTTAAAATGTTTATCTCGGATTTTCCATAAAATGCGTTTTTCACCCCTAAAAATTCAAAAAACTATATTTTTTGGAAAACAGCTAATAAAATCCAAAATTTTGAGAATTTCCAAAAAACCGGAATATATGTTATATAGCTCTATTAGAACATTAGATGTCCCAAATTTCAACTTTCTATCTTGATTTTTGACCCCCAAATTGTAAAAAATAGCTCCAACATGCATAGGGCATGGTGACGTCATAAGCATTTTCGCGAATTAGAGGCACTTCTGAACATCGCATGTGAAAACAAATGGCACCACTAGATTCCTGGGACAAAGCTCGTCTAGAAAAGTGCATTTTTATGTCAAAAATAAAAAGTTGAAAAATTGACCTTTGTTCTCAGCCCTCGTTTAGTATAAACGATTTTTTATGCTTTCAATACACACTTATCACCAGCACAGTGACTTGGGGTCACATATAACCATTACCATCGGATTTGGCGTGAAAAATAAGCCATAAAACATGTGTCGCACGCCCATGTAGCAGAAAGTGAAAACCGTGACCTTTCGTGACCTGACCTGACCTTGACCCGTACTTAGTATGACCCCTATACGCACATGGTACCTTCACTAGGTCTTTGAGGTCATTTGTGGTGAGTTTCGAGCAGCAGCTATCGATTCCGCTGTCCGTAAGCCTAATCATGCAAAACCCCTGAATTTGACCTTTGACCTGACCTTGACCCGAAAGTTGACCTCAATCTTAAAATCTTAAGAGTGCTTTGGGAAGGTCTCGTAGAGACCTTTCGAACGCCG